GACTTAAGCAAGTGTGGTCAATTATTTGTATTACAGCAGTGCCTAGAGACCCCCAACTGAAATCAGGGCTTCACTGAACTAGATGATGTACAAACAAATAGTAACAGATTGTCCTGACTTGAAAGAAGTTACAAATAAATAGATGGGGCAGACAAAGTGGAGAGGGCAAACAGAAGTGAATTAACTTGCCCAAGTTCACATAGCAGGTTGGTGGCAGAATCTGAAATAGAACCCAAGTCACCATTCACTTCAGCTACTGACTTCAGTGGGCATAAGAAGTGCAGGAATTGGCCCCAAATTCAGAATCAAGGAGCCAAAACCAGCTTCCTGATGGCCCTCTCAGTGTTGAGCAAAGCTCACTGGAGTTGAGAATCTAACACAAGTTATTAAATGCTGAGAAAGGAGGAGTCATGAAAATTAAAGCTGTGCAAAAAGTGCACAATGTACCCTCAAACCACACAACACCTGTCTGGTTACAGGTTTCATTACATATTCAAATCACACACCATGTACACTGAAACTTCCACTGTGATTCTCAAATATATTTGGGTGAACATGGACCTAGTTTCAAGCAAACCTGGGACAATTTAAGAGTTTAGACCAAAAATCAGTTGAAGACTGGTCATTTTCACTGAGTTTTGTTTTGAGGTTTTTAGCTTGTTTGAACCCAAAAACTCAAAGCAAAATTCAGGGGCAGAGCGCTAGCCATAATGGTTTGCCCAGCGCTAATGAAAACATAAAATAATAAAATTGCTTAGAAACTGATCAAAACAAATGTGAAACTGATCTGTTCCCGTTGTCCAGTATGAGTGAGATACAAAAAATAAAGAGCATAAATGATTAAAAGTACATTTAATTTAATTATAATTTTACCACAAGTATTTCTGGATGGACATATAGAATATGTCATGCTTTCCATGAAAAGTAATTTTTAGTCTGCACACAAGCATGAAGGAGTTTTAAGAACATGTTGCAAGTTTAGAGCATGCACTTGAAATTAACATAAAAAATGTATGTTAAACTGTATGCAGAGGGGCCCATACAGCTGTTGGTAACAGTGAGTAGTTTGATATAAACTACCTGTCTAGCTATAAATATATAGTGATATTTTCCAGAATTTCCACCAATAGTACATACCATTGTAATTTCAAGGAGGATGTCACAGAGCCAACCTATGAGCTCTTCTTAATGATGAAATCATTTCAGGAGGTTGCACATAAGGGAATGTTACTTTTATGAATAGTTTTATTATTTATTATTTATATTCATGCAGCAACATAAATGTGCACAAAAATCTAATATGCATCAGATCATGTAATATATACTACAGTTCAGAATAACAGAAAGCAAGTTATCTGCTCCACTCATGGGCTTTATATGAAGAGATATTGCGCACATTTCATGTCTATTCTCTAAACAAAGATGGGGTAAAGTTCTGTTTAATGTGGAAACTTTCTCACAGTATGCCTAAACACAGGTTCACTTCCAATAATAGGATATTAACTAATATAAATCTAGAAATGAAAATATCCTTTTTTGCACTATAGCTCATGATCTTATTTCAGTACATGGAATAATCTAAGTACTTTTTACAGATGCTAATATATAGTATATGTTAATATACTGAAACTGTTTAATAGCTTTAAATATACATAATAGCTAATGTTGTAAAATTGCAAAACTGTACATAAGGTCAACATAACGTGTTGGCATTGTCATTTTATATGTCATTAAGTACATAATTTACTGTTAGATAAAACTATATTATACAGTGGGCAAAATGTCAAATAAGGGTGCCTATTACAGGCATATTTAGATACCTAAACAAAAGGGCCTGATTTTCACAAGTGTTGGTAAGCACCCAAAACACCCATTGACTTAAGTGGGAACAGTAGATGCTCAGCACTTCTGAGAATTAGGCCTCTTTGTTTAGGTATCTAAACATGGACTAAGTGCCTAACTTTAGCAATAATATTTGACAAATGTGGCCAGCATATTTTGTTTGAATATGGCTTGGCAGCAGGGTCCAACTTTTTCTCCTGTGTTTGTACAGCACTTAGCACAATAGATTCACAGCCCATGAGTGGGGCATCTAGGTGCTACAGCAATACAAATAAATAATGAATATTGACTTGACTTGTGAAAGCAGATCCATTGATTTCAAAAGGGACTATTCACATAATAAGCAAGGATTGCATTAGAAGCTCTTTATTTTCTCCTTATATTTTAATCTTTTTTTTAAGAGAGAACTGGAACCTAAGCCTTCCAAGACAACATGCCAGGAGATAAACTAAGCTAGAGATATCCCAAATTAGAGTTGATATATACAGTACTAATACCGTGAGTCTGAGCACATCCAAATTTTGAGGAAATACACATCTGGAGCTAAACTTTATGTCTTTCGCCCATCTGCAGAGACTACAGAGAGGTACATAAAGGTGACTTTTCGGGACATGGTAGAGCAGCCCCACCTTCTGTCTGACAACCCCTGTGGTGTTAAGGAGGATGAAAGTCTCAGGACAGGATAGCATCAAGATGGAGCGTAGGTAGGGTGACCAGATGAGAGGAAGAAAATATCGGGACACATGGGAGGGGGGGGATCCACCGGCAGAGCAAAAAAAAACAAACAAGTGCTACCGGCAGAGCAAAATATCGGAACAAACACCTAAATATCAGGACGGTCCCGATTTTATCAGGACGTCTGGTCACCCTAAGCATAGGAAAATAATCCCATAGTTGGGATCCACCTTCTAGATGATGTCATAATATCCTCTCACATTTAGGCTTAGATTAAGGTCCAGGATATCCATAGTAGCATTCTCTGAAATGCTTCCAGTTCCACGCGCAGGGCCAGTAAGACAGGCAGAACTGCAGGGCCTAAATACATGGATGAGACAATGGTGTAGGATGGAGGGATTAAGATTTCTTAGGAATTAGGAAACCTTTGGGGGAAAAGTAACCTATACAGGAGGGATGGGCTCCACCTTAACCAAAATGGAACCAGACTGTTGGCATGTAAAATTTAAAAAGGTTGTAAAGGAGTTTAACCTAAGGGCTGGGGGAAACCCAACAGGTGTGGAGGAGCACACACATAAAAGAGTCCCATTTAAACATAACACATGAAGACAAGCAACTAAATAGTCACAAAATGTACAAACGCTTATATACAAAGGCTAGAAGTCTAAATACTAAGATGGGTGACCGAGAGTGCCTGGCATTAGATGAGGATATTGCTGTAAGGGCATTACAGAGATCTGGTGTAATGAGGGTAATCAATGGGACACCGTAATACCAGGGTACAAAATACATTGGAATGACAAAAACAATGAGGAGTCCTTGTTGCACCTTAGAGACTAACAAATTTATTTGGGCATAAGCTTTTGTGGGCTAAAACCCACTTCATCAGATGCATGGAGTGAAAAATACAGTGAGCAGTATAAATATTACAGCACATGAAAAGATGGGAGTTGTCTTACCATGTGGGGGATCAGTGCTAATGAGGCCAATTCAGTTAAGGTGGATGTGGCCTATTCTCAACAGTTGACAAAAAGGAGTGAATATCATAGACTCATAGACTTTAAGGTCAGAAGGGACCATTATGATCATCTAGTCTGACCTCCAGGAATCCAGGGAGATTGAAGTGTTCTCCTACTGGTTTTTGTGGTTAGGTCCTAAGATGATGTCCCTTGAATAGATGTGTGGACAGAGTTGGCAACGGGGTTTGTTGCAGGGATTGGTTCCTGGGTTCCTGGGTTAGTGTTTTTGTTGTGTGGTGTGTAGTTGCTGGTGAGTATTTGCTTCAGGTTGGGGGGCTGTCTGTAAGCAAGGATTGGCCTGTCTCCCAAGGTCTGTGAGAGTGAGGGATAGTCCTTCAGGATAGGTTGTAGATCATTGATGATGCACTGGAGAGGTTTAAGTTGGGGGCTGTAGGTGACGGCTAGTGGCGTTCTGTTACTTTCTTTGTTGGGCCTGTCCTGTAGTGGATGATTTCTGGGTACTCTTCTGGCTCTGTCAATCTGTTTCTTCACTTCACCAGGTGGGTATTGTAGTTTTAAGAACACTTGATAGAGCCAGAGCCACATCAGCCACACCATCAGGGGCTTGTTCTCCTGCACATCTACCAGTGTGATATATGCCATCATGTGCCAGCAGTGCCCTTCTGCCATTTACATTGGCCAAACCGGACAGTCTCTATGCAAAAGAATAAATGGACACAAATCAGACATCAAGAATTGTAACATTCAAAAACCAGTAGGAGAACACTTCAATCTCCCTGGACATTCAATAACAGACTTAAAAAGTGGCAATTCTTCAACAAAAAAACTTCAAAAACAGACTCCAACAAGAAATTGCAGAACTGGAATTAATTTGCAAACTGGACACCATCAAATTAGGCCTGAATAAAGACTGGGAGTGGATGGGTCACTACAAAAAGTAATTTTCCCCTCTGCTGATACTCACACCATTTTGTGAATTGTTGGAAATGGGCGATGTCCACCTTTATAGCATTGGCCTCGTTAGCACTACAAAAGTAATTTTCTTCCTTTGATATTCACCCCTTCTTGTCAACTATTGAGAATAGGCCTCTTCCATCTTAATTGAATTGGCCTTCTTAGCACTGACACTCCACTTGGTAAGGCAACTCCCATCTTTTCATGTGCTGTAATATTTATACTGCTCACTGTATTTTTCACTCTGTGCATCTGATGAAGTGGGTTTTAGCCCATGAAAGGTTATGCCCAAATACATTTGTTAGTCCATAAGGACTCATGGTTGATTTTGCTGATACAGACTAATACGGCTACCACATTGGAATGGCAGAATAGTTCACACTGCCGGGGGAGTGGCACTGTATGTTTTTAAAAAGCATAGAATCAAATAAGGTGACAAATCTTAAATGAATGAAACTGTACCATAGAATCCCTATGGATAGAAATTCCATGCTTGAATAATAAAAGCATAGCAGTAGTAATATACTACTGACCGACCACCTGACCAGAATGGTGACAATGATCCAGAATGGTGACCATGATTGTGAAATGCTACAGGAGGTTAGACAGGCTACAAAATCAGAAAACACAATAATAATGGGTAATATCAACTACCCTCATATTGCTTGGGTACGTTACCTCAGGGCATTATGCAGACATAACATTTCTAGACATCATAAATTACTACTTCTTGGGGCAACTAGTCCTGGAACCCACAAGCGATTTAATCCTAAGTGATGCACAGGATCTGGTCTACAAGGTGAATATAGCTGAACTCCTCAATAATAATTATCATCATGTAATTCAATTTAGAATCTTTGCAGGGGAGAAAATACCAAACAAAAAAACAAAACAAAAAACCCCCACCACAGTAACATTTAGTTTTTAAACAGGGGACTGCAAAAGAATGAGAATGCTAGGTAGATGGAAATTTAAAAAAGCAGTCACAAGGGTAAAATGCCTGCAAGTAGTATGGAGACGACTTTAAAAAAAACATAATAGAAGCTCAGATTAAATATATACCCCAAATTAAAAAAAAAAGAGTAGAAGAACATACGGAGGAAGTGTAGTGTAGATACCATTCTAATAGGTGATACTGGTGGTAGTATGTCTGGGCCTAATCGGGTAAAGAATGTGAGCAAAGCCAAACAGCAAGAATTAAGATGTTTGTACACCAATGCAAGGAGCCTAGGGAACAAAATGGAGGAACTAGAGTTACTGGTGCAGGAAGTGAAACCGGATATTATAGGGATAACAGAAACATGGTGGAATGGTAGTCATGACTGGAGTACAGGTATTGAAGGGTATGTGCTGTTTAGGAAAGACAGAAATAAAGGCAAAGGTGGTGGAGTAGCATTGTATATCAATGATGAGGTAGACTGTAAAGAAATAAGAAGGGATGGAATGGATAAGACAGAGCCTGTCTGGGCAAAAATCACATTGGGGAAGAAAGCTATTAGAGCCTCCCCTGAGATAGTGCTTGGGGTGTGCTATAAACCACCGGGATCTGATTTGGATATGGATGGAGACCTTTTTAATGTTTTTAATGAAGTAAATACTAAATAGGAATTGTGTGATCATGGGAGACTTTAACTTCCCAGATATAGATTGGAGGACAAGTGCTAGTAACAATAATAGTGCTCAGAATTTCCGAGATGCAATAGCTGATGGATTCCTTCACCAAGTAGTTGCTGAACCAACAAGAGGGGATGCCATTTTAGATTTGGTTTTGGTGAGTAGTGAGGACCTCATAGAAGAAATGGTTGTACGGGATAACCTTGGTTCGAGCGATCATGAGCTAATTCAGTTTAAACTAAATGGAAGGATAAACAAAAATAGATCTGGGACTAGGGTGTTTGATTTCAAATGGGCTAACTTTAAAAAATTAAGGAAATTAGTTAGGGAAGTGGATTGGACTGAAGAACTTGTGGATCTAAAGGCGGAGGAGGCCTGGAATTACTTCAAGTCAAAGTTGCAGAAATTATCAGAAGCCTGCATCACAAGAAAGGGGGAAAAATTCATAGGCAGGAGTTGTAGACTAAGCTGGATGAGCAAGCATCTCAGAGAGGTGATTAAGAAAAAGCAGAAAACCTACAAGGAGTGGAAGATATGAGGGATCAGCAAGGAAAGGTACCTTATTGAGGTCGGAACATGTAGGGATAAAGTGAGAAAGGCCAAAAGCCATGTAGAGTTGGACCTTGCAAAGGGAATTAAATAGTAAAAGGTTCTATAGCCATATAAATAAGAAGAAAACAACAAAAGAAGAAGTGGGACCATTAAACACTGAGGATGGAGTGGAGGTTAAGGATAATCTAGGCATGGCCCAATATCTAAACAAATACTTTGCCTCAGTCTTTAATGAGGCTAATGAGGAGCTTAGGGATAATGGTAGGATGAGAAATGGGAATGAGGATATGGAGGTAGATATTACCAATTCCAAGGTAGAAGCCAAACACAAACAGCTTAATGGGACTAAATCGGGGGGCCCAGATAATCTTCATCCAAGAATATTAAATTGCAAGCCCATTAGCAAGAATTTTTAATGAATCAGTAAACTCAGGGGCTGTACCACAATACTGGAGAATTGCTAACATAGTTCCTATCTTTAAGAAAGGTAAAAAAAGTGATCCGGGCAACTACAGGCCTGTTAGTTTGACATCTGTAGTATGCAAGGTCTTGGGGAAAAAATTTAAGGAGAAAGTAGTTAAGGACATTGAGTTCAACAGTAATTGGGACAAATTACAACATAGTTTTATAAAAGGTAGATCGTGTCAAACCAACCTGATCTTCTTCTTTGAGAAGGTAACAGATTTTTTAGACAAAGGAAACGCAGTGGATCTAATTTACCTCGATTTTAGTAAGGTATTCGATACGGTTCCACATGGGGAATTATTAACTAAATTGGAAAAGATGGGGATCAATATGAAAATTGAAAGGTGGATAAGGAATTGGTTAAAGGGGAGACTACAACGAGTCGTACTGAAAGGTGAACTGTCAGGCTGGAGGGAGGTTACTAGTGGAGTTCCTCAGGGATCGGTTTTGGGACCAATCTTATTTAATCTTTTTATTACTGACCTTGGCACAAAAAGCGGGAATGTGCTAATAAAGCTGACACAAAGCTGGGAGGTATTGCCAATACAGAGAAGGACTGGGATATCATACAGGAAGATCTGGATGACCTCGTAAACTGGAGTAATACTAATAGGATGAAATTTAATAGTGAAAAGTGCAAGGTTATGCATTTAGGGATTAATAACAAGAATTATTGTTATAAATTGGGGACGCATCAGTTGGAAGTAACAGAGGAGGAGAAGGACCTCGGAATATTGGTTGATCACAGGATGACTATGAGCCGCCAATGTGATATGGCCATGAAAAAAGCTAATGCAGTCTTGGGATGCATCAGGTGAGGTATTTCCAGTAGAGATAAGGAGGTGTAAGTACCGTTATACAAGGCACTGGTGAGACCTCATCTGGAATACTGTGTGCAGTTCTGGTCTCCCATGTTGAAGGACGAATTCAAACTGGAACATGTACAGAGAAGGGCTACTAGGATGATCCGAGGAATGGAAAACCTGTCTTCTGAAAGGAGACTCAAAGAGCTTGGCTTGTTTAGCCTAACCAAAAGAAGGCTGAGGGGAGATATGATTGCTCTCTACAAATATATCTGAGGAATAAATACCAGGGAGAGAGAGGAATTATTTAAGCTTAGTACCAATGTGGACACAAGAACAAATGGATATAAACTGGCCATCAGGAAGTTTAGACTTAAAATTAGACAAAGGTTTCTAACCATCGGAGGAGTGAAGTTCTAGAACAGCCTTCCAAGGGGAGTAGTGGGGCAAAAAACATATCTGGCTTCAAGACTAAGCTTGATAAGCTTATGGAGGGGATGGTATAATGAGATTGGTCTTTGACTATTAGCGGTAAATATGCCCAATGGCTTGTGATGGGATGTTAGATGGGGTGGGATCTGAGTTATTACAGAGAATTCTTTCCTCGGTGTCTTGCTGGTGAGTCTTGCCCACATGCTCAGGGTTTAGCTGATCGCCATATTTGGGGTCGGGAAGGAATTTTCCTCCAGGGTAGATTGGCAGAGGCCCTGAGAGGGTGGGGGGTTGCCTTCCTCTGCAGCGTGGGGCACAGGTCATTTGCTGGAAGATTCTCTGCACCTTGAAGTCTTTAAACCATGATTTGAGGACTTCAATGGCTCAGACACAGGTTTGATACAGGAGTGGGTGGGTGAGATTCTGTAGCCTGCATTGTGCAGGAGGTCAGACTAGATGATCATAATGGTCCCTTCTGACCTTAAAGTCTATGATCTAACCAAAGGAATGCCACCATGGCTAATCAGCAAAGTAATGGAGGCCATTAGAGGCAAAAAGGCATCCTTTAAAATGTGAAAGTCAAATCCAAGCGAGAATACAAGAAGGTACACAAACTCTGGCAAGTATAATAAGGGAAGACAACAAAGAATTTGAGAAGCAACTGGTTAATGATGCAAAAACTAATAGTAAAAACATTTTTAAGTACACCAGAAGCAGAAAGCCCATCAAAGACGCAGTGGGGCCACTAAATGACAAAGGCATTAAAGCAGCACTCAAGGAAGACAGGGCCATTGCAGAGACACTAAATGAATTCTCTGCATCAGTCTTCATTGCAGAGAATGTGATGGAGATGGCCACATTAGAGCTATTCTTTTTGGGCGACAAATCTGAAGTACTGTCCCAAATTGATGTGTCAGTAGAAGAGGTTTTAGAACAAATTGATACACTAAACTGTAATAAGTCACTGCGACCAGATGGTCTTCACCCAAGAGTTCTGAAAGAACTCGAGTATGAAATTGCAGAATTATGAACTGTAGTCAATAACCCATCACTGAAATCAGCCTCTGTACCAGATGACTGAAAAGTATCTAATGTAACACCAATTTTTTGAAAGGGCTCCAGAGGGGATCCAGGTAGTTACAGGCTGGTGAACCTAACTTCAGAACCAGGCAAATTGATAGAAACTACTGTAAAGAATAGAATTATCAGACACATCAACAAACATGATTTGTTTCTGAAGAGTCAACATGACTTTTGTAAAGGGAAGTCATTCCTCCCCAGTCTATTAGAATTCTTTGAGGAAGTCAACAAGCATGTGGAGAGGGGTGTTATGCTTATAGAAAGCACACAAGATCTTTTATAGGGGAGAAGGCAACACAATGCATTTATTAAGAATACAGCAGTTAGCATATGCTTTTCAGTTACACATACACACAGCATGCACACTGTCCTGCCAGTCATTGTTATAGTTACCAGTCCGGATCAAGCTAGTGGCCAGCTAGGTTGATCACCGGTAGGGAGGAGCCGGGTTCCATCGATCATGACACAATGCTCCAGGGAAGTCTTGGAAGGACAAACCCAAAGTTTCATGGCAAGGCACCCTATTTATATAGTAATTTTCCTTCATTGGGACCAATGAGTTTTGCTCCATCATGCTGTAATCAATTGTTGTTTGACAAGTGCTTGTTTTCTTAAATTGTCCTTCTCATTCTTTATCACAGCTATCTCATCCCCACTGATAGGTGCCTGTCTTTAGAGTCGTCAATCTTCCCTCCTCTGACATTTCAATAGGAGCATGTTGCA